GTACCTTCAGCTTCGTCTTCAGATGAAGGCTCCCCCTGCTGAGGAATATCATCACCGTGAGCATCACCATCACCTACTGAACCATCACTCTCTTGTTCAGTAGTATCATACATCTCCTCGTTACTGAGAGGAATGTTTGATGATACAGGCACTTCGTCTTCTGGAGTATGTTGTTGGCGGATTATTGGAGCACACCCATGAAACTCGTTTTCATGAAATACAACATATCTTCTTCGTACAACTTTCTTCACTTCGGGATCCCACAACCGGTATCCGAATTCTTCATCACCATACCCGATGAAGATGCATGGGTTTGACTTGAGATCAAGCTTCTGTCTCAACTCCTTGGACACATGTGCAAATGCCTTGCACCTGAACACTTTCAAGTGAGAGTAAGAAACATCTCTTCTTGACCATTTCTTTTCTGGCACTTCAAAGTTTAAAGGAACAGAAGGTGACCTGTTTATAAGATAACAAGCTGTTAGCACAGCTTCACCCCAGAATGGCTTAGGTAGTTTAGCCATACTCAACATGCAACGAACTTTCTCCATAATGGTCCGATTCATTCTTTCGGCTACACCATTGTGTTGTGGAGTTCGTGGAACCGTCTTCTCATGTCTGATTCCATATGCGGCGCAATATGCTGAGAACTCCCGGGAAGTGTACTCTCCTCCATTGTCTGAACGTAGACACTTCAGCTTCTTCCCTGTTTCTCTTTCTACCATTGCATGAAATAATTTGAAGCGATCAAACACTTGTTCCTTACTCTTCAAACAATAAGCCCATACCTTTCGTGATGCATCATCAATGAATGTCACGAAATACCTGCTTCCTCCAAGTGACTCCTCTTCAATGGGTCCGCATACATCAGAGTGTACAAGACTGAGTAACTCTGAATGGTTCTTCCTGGTAGAACTGAAGGAAACCCTGTGTTGTTTCCCGAATAGACAGTGTTCGCATGGATCAAGGGCAACACCTTTGCCCATGGAAATGACTTCCTTCTTTGCAAGAGTTGTCAATCCCTTCACGCTCAAGTGGCCTAGCCTCCGGTGCCACAAGTTTGGTGATATCTCTTCTTCAACAGCATTAAGACTTGGATGACACAACTTTGCATGAGTTTTGTAAAGAGTACCACAAATATGGCCTCTTGCAACAATCAAGGAACCTTTAGATAACTTCCACGTACCTTCTTTGAATCGGTTAAGATATCCTTGCTGATCCAGAGATGTACCGGAGATAAGATTCAATCTAAGATCCGGAACATGTCGAACATCTTTCAACACAAGTGTGCATCCGACATTGGTTGTTATGTGTACATCACCAATGCCAACAATCTTCGAGAAACTGGTGTTTCCCATCTTCACAGCTCCAAAGTCCCCAGACTTATAAGATGTGAATAAATTCTGGTGTGGAGTGGCGTGAAATGATGCGGCTGTATCAATCACCCACTCATCATCATGAGTTCCTACATGTAAACATTCTTGTTCACTGATGTGTGTTTTCTCGCACTTAAAATAGTTGTAGAAAAGTGGTGTAAAGTACGAGTATCGTCTCCACAGGGACGGACAAAAGGGAAATAAAGATTAACTAAATTCAGCGATAAAAAAGAAATAAATAAAATAAAAGTGCAATTGTGCGAGATTGGTTGGTTGAATTAAAAATAAAACTAATGCTAATGAGCGATGAAAATAAAAGATTGGTTTCTTCTCAATTAACGACGAAGGGAACAGGGATTCATTCCGGGGTAACCAGATTTCTGACAGATCAAGCCTAATTACATGAATTTAATTTAATTGAGCCTAGCTAATCATTACTAAGTTCTTACCGCTCTCGCGGCGTAGAGTACAATAATTTAAGGGACCAGGCTGATCTCTCATGCGACAGGATCCTAAATTATTGCCAAGACGAGCGAGCTTACGGCCCCTTAATCGCTACTAATCTCTTAGCGAACGATTAAGTGTGTGTGAATGTGTCCTAGAACAAATTAGATCTCTCTTAATTTATTCTATCAGCAATTGTAATTCTAATGGCCATCTAGGTTACAAGAGATATCAGTTAAATTATTCAGACACAAATTAAACGGCATTCATGCAATTAAACCGACAAGAATCTAGCCATGAATCATGATTAACCCCTTCATCAACCCCAAATCCCTAATTAAACTACTCACAATTCATAATTGAAGAATCAACAGAATTGGGATGAATAGAAATAATTGTCATTAATTAAAAAGATGAACTTACAAATAATCCCAGGGTCTTGGAAGAAAATAGCGTAAAAACGTTGTTAAATTCGTCCCTAGGCCTCTCCGTAATGTTCTTAACCCTCAAAAAGGGTTAGGGAGGCCTTATTTATAGAAAAAGGGGGAAAAAAAACCGAATTTGGGCCGAAATAGGATTTTTCCGCGCGTGGCACGGAGCTACGCACGATCGTGCGTCCCTGCCTACGCACGATCGTGCGTAGCAGTCAGAGGCAGCTCCGCGTTTTCGTAATGGACGCACGATCGTGCGTCCCAGACGCACGACCGTGCGTCTGACTTTTCGCTCCGTTTTCTCGTTTTCTTGCTCCAAACGTGCTCGGATTCACATGAGGTCGATCCCAATGCTCTTCCTTCATCAAAATTTCGCCGTGAATCACCTGGTGACCTCCAAATCTCTCAATTCTTCCTTGAATGCTCTCTATCTCCTCCCGATTGTCTCTTTAGCGCCGATTGTCGGACTCTAACTTCTTCAAATCAACTCCAAATGCAACGAAACTCGATCCAACGCCTGCTAAACACAACTTGAGCCAAATTTGAGACTTGTAACGCCTTAAAGCCGAGAAAATCATCAAAATCCGACCCGGACACGCATCAAATGCGTGTCCAAATACGGACTTATCAGACTCCCCCACACTTAAGCTTTTGCTTGTCCTCAAGCAAATCGAACATCGGGACTTACGATAATCACCACACGGAATTTAAAACAGTTAGCATACATACGTAGTTAAAGGGATATTCACAGAACAAGCAGACTAAACCACGAAAATTCTTCCCTAAACTACATCTTTGTACTCTAGCTAAAATATTTGACAAAATTATTCACAACATCCTCAAAGTAGTGACAGCACACACAAATAAACTAGTTATTGATCAGAAGGACTTGTGAAGGTGGTGGTGAATGGATCATGGATAAAAATAATAGTCCCTTTATTTTGAGAGGTAGGAATATTCTAACAAAGACCCAATGTTTTCAGGAACTTCAGGGCTATTCTTAGGATCAAAGAACTCAATAGGCTACAATTTAGGAACAATCATTTAAACCTATGCAAAGAGTAGACATGGTGTACAACTAAGCTAAACCGTCTCAGCACATTTGTGCTTTGACGTATACTTGAAGTACGCGGAGGACTAAAGCTAATTTTTCAATAGCCTCCAAGTTCATTAATTATGTTTAGTTTTCCTTGTCATGTTGGCACAAGAACGCTGTTTCTTTCGAAAGATACCCAAGTCTCATCTTACGCTTTTTGACCGGGGCTCCCATTCTCTTTTTCGCAAAGTAAGAGGTCTAGCTATATTAATTTTTCACCTTTCGGATTCTCACTAGACATTACCCCATTCTAATCTCGGCCTCACCAAGGAAAAATAGCAATTAAAGTTCATTAATGTAAAGGTGAATCCATGCCTACAATGCAATCCTCGAAAGTATCATATTCCTAAAAGATGACTGCTCTTACCCCATTTGGGGCATAGGAACAGTGCCAAAGTTGGCTCCTACACAAATTCCCTAAACTTATCAAATTAATCCCTTAATTCCCTAGACATCAGGACTAAGTCAGAAATATTCACGGGTAAGGAAACAGGCCATTTGGCTATGGAGCTAAATTAATTGGGTAAACAAAGAACGGTCAGGCTCAAAATGGCTTCTCCTAAAGGGTCTTATTCAGGTAGGGTGGATGATTAATGGATTATTTCAATGGGTAACTAATGCCTTCATCCTTTCAACAACTAGATCGTAATGTAAGCAATTTAAGCCTAAATACTTCAAAGATGTTCTAAAAGCATAGTCAAAATGCTAGCCAGCTCACAAAGACACAGTTTAACGAAAAATTTTCAAAAATTTTGCATGAATTTCCTATGAATATACAACTAACACCTGCGCATGCTAACTCTAACAAATCACATGTGACAACTACTGCCCGAATGCCCAATTCACCCCCCCCCCCACACTTAAACTTTGGCATCGTCCTCGATGACCAAAAATGCATTATGTATTAGGGGTAAAGAGGAAAGGGTCACGCGTGCTCAACATTAACTCAAGTCATTATCACAAAAATAAGAACCAAAGCAACTTCCCTATGGCGATGGTTGGTGTGGAACTCAATTGTGTGAAATGAACTCGGCAATTTCATCCACGGGACTAGTAAGCTGCAATCATCAAAACACAAACAAAAACCAAGTAATACGGAGAAAGAGTAAAGAGTAATGTGAGTGAGTGAGTGAGTGTGAAAGTATAGATACAGTCATCCAACAAAAATCAGAGAACAGAGGCTAACGGCGAACAATCTACTAAATCACTACTGCTCCGGAGGTGGCGGTGGCTGCTGTGCATCAAAGAACGAACTCCAGCTGGACTCTAAGGATGTGACACGAGTGTCCAACTCCGCGTACTGTACGCGCAGGTTGGAAAACTCGGTTGTAATGTCCTCGTGAATGGTCCGCTGGAGGTCTCTGTGGTAAGCCTGCCTCTCTGCCCGGACCTCCTGAAAGAATGTCTGCTGGTCCGCCCTCATCTGGCGATAAAGCTCCTGCTGTCTCTGTCGCTCTGCCTGAACATCGGCAAAGAAGCGCTGCTGACTCTCAAAAAGTGACCTGTGATGGCGCTGCTGACTCTCCCTCCACTCGACATGATAAGCCCTCTGCTCCTCATGCCAACTCGAAAAAGCATCCTGAAAAGCAGGTGGCATGACAGGAATAGAATGAGCAGCATCATGGTCCATGGCTGCTCCTGCCCCCTCAGTGTGGTGCTCCTCATCATCATCATCAACGTGGCCAGCTGCGCCGCCCTCCTGAATATGGATCCCCGCCTGATGCGGTACTCTCTGCTCTCCCTCAACTGGCTGCTCTGCTAGGCGCCTCCTTCTGGCCACTCCGGTGTTCAGCTCTGGAAGCTTAGTCAACGGCGCATAGTAAGAACTCTCATCCATGTTTACAAAGTGGTCGCCGTAACCCATCCCACGCAGAAGGCAGGTGATGTAGGGTCCAGAAAAGATAGCCTTGATCTTGTAGGTAGACTGACGGTGGAAGAGGTCGGCAATGATAGCACCCATGTGTGGTAGCTTGTTGTGGATCATGCAATAAAGGCACAAAAGATCTGTAGTGGAGACCTTGCCTGCTACCTCGGCCCTCCCAGTGATGGTGGATGAAAGGAGGGAATGGATAACTCTGTACGCCCGTGGATATAACAAGGTGCTAGGGGTGTCCCGGGGGTCATAAGTGCCGCCGTCTCTAGAAATGCTCTCCCAAAACCTCTGGCGGTCTACATCTCGTGGAAAATCAGTCAATCCTGCTTCATTATCTGCTCTATCCTCAATCCGGGTAAAACCTAAGTGCCACTGGATGTTGTAAATGGATATGGCATGGTCCTCATTGAAGGCCCGGAACTTGATTAGGGGTCGGTGGTTATCGGAGAAACTGATAGATCGAGGCACCTTAATTGTGGCCAACACTTCGCAAGTTACTTCTTTGTATGTGGTCTCTCGAATGCCAAAGAAAAGGTGTTGCCACCATCCCCGACGGAGTAGCGTCATCACCTCATCATGAAGCCCAGCGGCTGTCAAGGTGGGCTCATCAGGATAATGAAACGTGCCCACCTCCTTTTTCAGCAAATCGAGGTATGTGATCATTTGTTCGTCCTTCGGGAATTGAGGCTGATATCGGGCACCTGTGGCCCGACTAGAGCTGGTGCCAACATTCTTGGTTCGCTTCTTTGGTGGCATCTGTCAAGACAATTCAACAACAACAACAACCATTCCAACGGGGCTTCCAAGTATTAGAATAAAACTCCAAATCAAAAGTAATAACCCCGTCAGTAATCAGTCATTCAAGAGCATCAACATAATTATCAATCAATCCAAGTTTAACCAGAATAGTTGAAACTTTTGAATTTTTATCAAAGAAAATTTCTTTGAAGTAAAGTCAAATATTTCAACGACACACGGTATAAACAAGGTCACAAGCAAGAATCCTTATCAAAACAAGTGTTAAGAATGGAGTTCCTCCCAAAAGAATTAAAGAGATATTAGATTAGGGGAAGAACTCTCAATTCTCAAATTGGACAAAGTTTGGCCTAAAATTTGGGGATTTATGCTCAATTTAACTCAACAACAAGTATTCAACATCATAATCAACAATTCATTCCTTAATTGAAGCAAGGAGCACAAAAAAAAACCCCAAATTTATCTCACATTCATCAATTTTCAACCCTAAATTGGCTAAATTAGCTCAAAAATTAGGGATTTCAATCAAAAGAAATAAATCCATCAATCATAGAATATCAAAATCATCATCACAAGCTTCAATTTAATCATGTGGATGTAAATCCCTAATTTTAGAGCATAAGAATTTGGATTTCTAGAAAAGCTTGGAGAAACCTCCATTAATGGAGAAAAGAGAGGAAAGGAGAAGAAGGAGAAAATACCTTGGAGAAGAGAGAAGAGAGAAGAGAGAAGCGGGTGGTTGGTGGAGCGGCGGTCTCGGCGGACGCGTCGGTCGCGGGGTGGGTCGGAGGTGCGGCGGCAGGGCGGTGGTCGTGGCTGCTAGGCGGTCTCGGCTGGTGTTCGTCGACTGGGTAAGGGGAGAGCTGGGGTCGGGCTTCGGTCGCGTAGAGGAGAAGGGGGAGGTTGGGTTGGGTAATGTTTAATTAAGGGGGGTAATTTTGGAAATTTTGGGACGCACGACCGTGCGTAGGGGGCGACGCACGATCGTGCGTCGATGGCAGTGGCATCTCCCGTGGTTCAGATGTTACGCACGATCGTGCGTAGGGGGGGACGCACGATCGTGCGTCGATGGCAGTGGCACCCCCTCGATTTTTTTCTTTGACGCACGGCGTGCGTGCCTGGACGCACGACCGTGCGTCCGCACGAACAGATTTTTTTTTTTTTTTTTTTTTTTTTTTTGAAAAGCAACTAATACTAACCTAATCAAAGCAAAAATTAAGCCCGGGTCGCCTCCCGAGAAGCGCTATTTTTAACGTCGTTTGCCCGACGCAACTACGCACTCATCTCTCCAAATTCGTGACAAAGGTCACCTCCCGCTCGCGTTCTAGCGGTCCTCCGTAATATTTCTTCAAATGATGGCCGTTAACTTTAAAACGGCCTTTCTCAGGATGATCAATCTCAACAGTGCCATAGGGAAAAACTTCGCTCACTACGAAAGGACCGGACCACCTAGACTTCAACTTTCCTTTAAAAATCTTCATTCGGGGATTGAATAGCAGAACTTGATCCCCCTTACAAAACTCTTTGCCCTGTTTAATATGCCGATCATGATAGGCTTTGGTACGCTCCTTACTAATCTTAGAGTTCTCATAAGCCATGAGCCTCCACTCATCCAACTCGTTGAGCTTCCAAAGCCGTTCACGACCCGCCAAAGACAAATCCTTATTCAACGTTTTCAAGGCCCAGTATGCCTTATGCTCAATCTCTACCGGAAGGTGGCACGCCTTCCCATAGACCAAGTGAAACGGAGTAGTGCCAATGGGTGTCTTATACGCTGTACGCAGTGCCCACAGCGCATCATCTAGCTTATCAGACCAATCCTTCCTATGGGTCTCAACAGTCTTCTCAAGGATGGTCTTAATGTCCCTATTTGAGTTCTCAACTTGGCCACTAGTTTGGGGGTGATAAGGGACGCCCCCTTTATGAGTGACCCCGTACTTTGCCAGAAGGCGAGTCATGGGATCATTCCTAAAGTGGGTTCCCCTGTCACTTATCAAAACTCGTGGCACTCCAAATCTAGAAAACAATTTCTTCAAAAAACGAATCACAACTCTAGCATCATTAGTGGGCAGAGCTTCCGCCTCAACCCACTTAGAGACATAATCCACAGCAACCAGAATGAATTTATTACCTTTAGAACCCGGGAATGGTCCCATGAAGTCAATGCCCCAAACATCAAATACCTCACAAGCCAATATAAAATTTTGGGGCATCTCATCCCTCTTGGTAACCGGCCCGGTGCGTTGACACCTGTCACATTCCTGCACAAACGTTAGAGCATCTTTAAACAACGTGGGCCAGAAGAAACCACATTCCAACACCTTACGAGCTGTCCGGTTAAAAGAGTAGTGTCCCCCAGTCGGTCCGGAGTGACAATGTTTGAGAATCTCAACTCCTTCGCTAAGAGGAACACATCTTCTAACAACCTGATCAGCACAAATACGAAACAAATATGGTTCCTCCCAAAAATAATATTTCAAATCAGCAAAAAATTTCCTTCGTTGATGAGGTGTATAATCAGAAGGAACAACACCCCCAACAAGATAGTTGGCGATGTCAGAAAACCAAGGCACCTCATCAACGATCCTCAACAGTCTCTCATCAGGAAAAGTACCCTCAATATCTCTCTCACTCAGGGAATCAAGAAAGGGGTTTTCTAACCTACTCAAGTGATCAGCCGCTAAATTCTCAGCCCCTTTCTTATCCCTAATCTCAATATCAAACTCCTGGAGTAGTAATATCCACCGAATCAATCTAGGCTTAGCATCCACTTTTTGCATCAAATATTTAAGAGCAGAATGATCGGTGAATATCACTACCTTAGACAAAATCAAATAAGGACGAAACTTGTCAAGAGCAAACACAACAGCAAGCAATTCTTTCTCAGTGGTAGTGTAGTTTTCTTGGGCACTATCGAGAGTCTTAGAAGCATAAGAAATAGGCTGAAAATGTTTCTCTCGACGCTGCCCAAGAACGGCTCCTACTGCAAAATCACTAGCATCACACATAATCTCAAAAGGCAAAGACCAGTCAGGAGCTACTACCACCGGTGCCTTGACCAGTTTCTCCTTCAAACACTCAAAAGCCTCTAAACACTCCTTTGAGAAGTCAAACGGTGTGTCCTTCTCAAGGAGCTTAGTCATGGGTCGGGCTATCTTAGAAAAGTCCTGGATGAACCTACGGTAGAAACCTGCGTGGCCTAGAAAACTCCTAATGGCACGGACCGAAGTAGGGGGAGGTAGTTTAGAAATCACATCAACCTTAGCCGGATCAACCTCAATCCCCCTACTTGAAATCTTATGCCCTAGGACCACTCCCTCACTAACCATGAAGTGGCACTTCTCCCAGTTAAGCACCAAATTCACCTCTCGACACCTAACCAAGACTTTCTTCAAGTTCTCTAAGCACTCATCAAAAGTATCACCATACACAGAAAAGTCATCCATAAAAACCTCCATAAACTTCCCAATGAAATCCCCAAAAATAGCAAGCATGCATCTCATAAAGGTAGCAGGAGCATTACATAATCCAAACGCCATCCTCCGATAAGCAAAGGTACCGAATGGACATGTAAAAGTGGTCTTATCCTGGTCCTCGGGGGCTATGGGGATCTGGAAGTATCCCGACATTCCGTCAAGGAAACAGTAAAACTTATGCCCTGCTAACCTCTCTAAAATCTGATCAATGAAGGGGAGTGGGAAGTGGTCCTTCCGGGTGGCGGCATTCAACCTTCGGTAATCAATGCAAACCCGCCATCCGGTGACCGTACGTGTAGCAATCAACTCATCTTTCTCATTCCTAACCACAGTCATCCCCCCTTTCTTGGGAACCACCTGGGTCGGGCTGACCCAAGAGCTGTCTGAAATTGGATAAATAATTCCTACATCTAACAGACGGATGACTTCCTCCCTGACTACTTCCTGCATATTAGGATTCAATCTCCTTTGTGGCTGCACTACCGGTTTAGCATTATCTTCCATCAAAATTTTATGAGTGCAGAAAGCAGGACTGATTCCTTTCATGTCAGAAAGTTTCCGGGCTAGGGCTTCCCTTTGTTCACAAAGTAAGTCAAGACATGCAGATTTTTGGGATGGCTCAAGCCCGGATGCAAGAATAACAGGGAGGTCAGGACTATCATCTAGAAACGCATACTCAAGGTGGGAGGGAAGAGGCTTTAGATTTAATGGAGAAGGAGTAACAATAGAAGAATCAGTCTGACAGTCTTCCTTCTCCACCTTATCTAAGTCATCTTCCTTCCCCTTCACATCATTAGCATCACTTGAGTTCTCCTCCCCATCAAGCATAAGACATTCAAAACTGGGGAGGAGCTCAAGATCCTCTGCTGACAAACTATCATCCAAAAGAAGATCAAAGAAGGCTTCATCAGAAAGCATGTTAGGAATGCAATCCTCCACCAAAGAATCAACCACATCCATGTAAAAACACTCACCACTATCTTGACAGGGCCTCTTCATTATTTTGGACATGTCAAAGGTGGCAGACTCATCCCCAACGCGGAGGACAAGCTTACCATCTCCAACATCAATAAGTGCACGGGCAGTTGCCAAGAATGGTCTGCCCAAAATCAATGGTACCTCCCGATCCTGATCCATGTCCAAAATAACAAAGTCTACCGGAAAAATAAATTTGTCCACTTTAACCAACACGTCTTCAATAATCCCTTGGGGATATTTGACTGAACGATCAGTCAACTGAATGCACATACGTGTAGGTTTAAGTGGACCGAGTGCAAGCTTTTCATATAAAGCAAGAGGCATCAGATTAATGCTTGCACCCAAATCAGCCAGGGCCCTATCGAAAGTAAGATCTCCTATAAAGCAGGGAATAGTAAAAGAACCTGGATCCTTAAGCTTCTTTGGCAGATCTGTCCGTATCACCGCTGAGCACTCCTCATTAAGCGTCACAGTAGACGCTTCTTCCAGCCTCCTCTTGTTTGTGAGCAAATCCTTCATAAATTTCGCGTACTTCGGCATCTGAGCTAGTGCATCCACGAATGGTAAGTTAATCTGCACTTGTTTCATGAGATGCAGAAACTTACCAAACTGGTCACTATCGTTCTTCCTAGTCAATCGCGCCGGATAAGGAAGAGGTGGGGTGTAATTCTTGACCGGAACGGACTGTTTTGGTGCAGCCGCCACCTCTCTTCCCTCATTTTTCTCCTTCTCTTCCTCCCGGACAGCCGGTTCAACTTGAACTTCATCGGGCTTCCGTGTTATGGCAGCAGGTTCCAGCTCTTTTCCACTCCTCAAGGTGACTGCCTGAACATGTTCTCTGGGGTTTGGTTCAGTATTACTAGGGAGGGATCCCTGAGGCCTCTCAGATAAAGCCTTTGAGATCTGCCCCATGTGAGTCTCCATGCTCTGCATCCTTGCCTCAAACATTTGCATCCTTGAGTCTGCTTTCAGCTGATTTTGTGCTAATTTGTTGAGCACTTCTTCTAAGCTAGAAAATTTTTGCTCAGTCTCCCTTCTAAAGCTTCCTTGCGCCGGCTGAGGAGCTTGTTGCTGGCCTTGAGGTATCTGGGGCTGATTAAAGTTTCTAGTCTGCTGCTGATTTCCTTGCCCGTATTGCCCTTGCTGCTGCTGTCCGTAGGGCTGATTATAGTAACCCTGTCGCTGATAATACATCGCATCCACTTGCTCTACTCCAGGGGCTGCCGAGTGTGCCATCATTGTGCATTCATGTGGCGAATGGAGTCCCCCACACATAGAACAAAAGGGACTAATAGGAACGGGGGCTACCATATTCACACTGGGCACCGAGAGAGCAAGTTCCGTCTTCTTCTGATTGTCATCCACCGTAGTAGCAAGCTTCTGAATTAAACTGGTCAAAGCATCTACCCTTGCAGAAAGGGCAGAATTCTCACTGATCTCGTACAA